GCGCGACTCGGCGGTAGCAGCCGGACCCCGCGCGGCCGACGCGGCCGCCGAGCAGCCCGGGCGCCCACTATTCTACCCCACGCCGCTCACACCAGCTTGGTGCCCCCAGCCCCGCCCCGCTCCGCCGCCATTGGCCCGGCGCCGTTTGTTAGCCTGTTGCTAAGGCGATGCCCGCCGCTGATTGGCGCGGGGCGCGGCAGGTCCTGGTTCCTGGAGTCCGGCGTGCGCCGCTGAGGGGTTGAGGGGGGTTGGGGATCGACGCCCGCCTTCGCCCCCCCGCAGCACGGGCCTGATCCTCTCCGCCTTGCGCTGCGGCCGGGGGCAGGATCGGGCCCGTGTGCTGTGGGGCTGAGCTGCAGCCCAGAAGGCGCCAGAGAAGCCGGGGGGAGGCGGCGAGTCTCGCCCCGCCCGCTAGGGTAGGCTGCGCGCCTGCGCTCGCGTGCGCTGTGCCGTGCGCCGGGCGCGCCGGCTGGTTGGGGCTCTGCTCGCGCCGGTTTAGGCCGGTCCTCTCCTGCTCCAGTCTAGTCTGTGATTGACAGCTCAGCACTTGTTTACCACAGCGCCGCCGCCGCCCGGCTCCCGGGGACTGCTGAGCTGGCAGAAAGCGGCCGGCCGGCCGGGCGGGGGGGGGAGAGAGGGAGGCACGGAGTTTAGGGCGAGGAGAAGAGGAGGGTCCCCGGCCTGGGGTCCACTCACCTGCCTAGCCGCATCTCCCCTGCCACTCCTGGCCCCTGACTGGGGTTGGCAGCCTTGCCCCTTCTCCAGGGAGGGGGAGAAGCAAACCCTGCATCAAACCCCACTGAAATATTCCCCCCCCCCCTTTTTTTTTCTTTTTTGGTCTCCCCTGAGGTGCTTCAGGCCGCGGGGAGGTGCCCAATTCTTTCCCTGCCTCCAGTTATTTTGCCACCTCCAGCATCTGTTTGACCCAACTTGGGGTCCTCCCCAACACCAGGGTCGCAAGCCGCCTGGGTTGTTTCAGCCCCTCAGTGCCCAGGCAGGGTTGGAAGGGAACAAAGAAGGGCAACTTGTTTATGGGCACCGGGAAACTTCCCAGGCAGCGGCTGGGCAGGACGGAGCCATTTAACTGCAAAGCTTTTAAGAAACCAGTTCCGTGTGACACTCGTTCCCGGAGCTGGCCGCCTCCTGCGCCCCTTAGTTTCTCTGGTACTTTCGAGATCAGGTTTTGCAGATTGTCTCTTCAAGGTTTTCAGACCTCAGTGTGGTGGCTGGGTACGGGAGAAAAGGAAGGAGGATTGTGCAATTGAATCTTGTCCAGTGGGCTGGATGTGCAGTATGACATGAGGTTACTTTCTGAACGATGTGAAACCATTTCAGTTAGGACTTCCCTAGGTATTATACTGGAAAAGCGTTGTCATCAGGTTGATTCTGGAATAAAGCATGGAATTGTAAGCCACGTCCTGGACTGTATTCAAAGTACTAATAATCCGAATTAAAAGCAACTGGCCTCTGTCTGTGTTAACTCCATCCAACCATATTGCCTGCCCATAACAATTCAGTTGTCATATACCCAAAAGTGAGTTAAGTGAATTAGATATGTCTACACAGTTTACATTTAATAACAAGCATATCATTTCCTTTCAGTACAAGAAAGAAACCTATGTAATATATTATGTGTAAAATGTTTTCAGGTGGAATAGCATATTGGGTTTTTCCCCCCTAGATGATGACAATTCTGAAGAAGGCCTCCACACTATTCATTCAGGAAGGCATGAATATGCATTCAGCTTTGAGCTTCCACAGACGTAAGTACTACATGCAATACCCATGTTGTGTAAATACCATGTTAAAGCACATGTTTATTAAACCATGTGAAAGATTTTAGTGGGTGGGGGACCCTTTTTCAGGGACAGGAGAGGTTGCACTAAAAGAACCTTTTTGATTTTTTTTTTTAATTGTGGGTAAAAAAAAAATTGAAACCTAACTGTTACTCTTAAATCAATCATTCCCTTTTTGACCTGTTGCAAATGACATGAATAAGTTGGCTATCCCGTATGATGCTCCGCTCACTACAAGGAGGAGAAAATTGATTGATTGATCAATCCTGGTCCCTGGAGAGTTGCTGGGACCTCTTCTTGCTGCATCAAAATTCCCTCAGTCATGTAGATAAGCAGACTTTGCAAACAGGATTCAGTAATAATCTGTTTGGGCTCAGTTTGGAACGGATGTGAGAAAATGAACTGTATCTGGACTCATGTAAATAAATGGTTCTGAGATTTAAACTAGTAAATGGAGGCAAATCTGTATGCAGATTGCAAGATGGTGGCTGTATAGAAACCAAGAGGGAAATAAGCAGACAGATGCATAGCAAAGAACCAAGATTATCTTGGGGATTAAAACAAAAAGCAAGAATGCTTACAGAAATATTTGGGTGATAAATACAGACATGCATGGGATGTCCATTTTTAGAAAACATCTCAAGTGTCCATAAGTATACGTAAAGTGATTGGGAAATTGTGTGAAGAGATTTCAATCTCGTGGGCTTCACCAAAATATCTGAGTGACTAAGTGAGGGACAAAGTGGTTAGAAGGAAGAAGAAGAGGAAAAGATTTGGGGTTAAAGCAAAGCCTACACTGAGGTAGAAAACCTTGGAGGGATTTCATGAGAGTTAAGATATCCTAACTCCACACAATGTGGAGCGAGTAAAATTTTGTATTATCTGAGGTGCAGAGTGTCTGGCTTTTATAGGAGTTGCAAGTATTTAGCCCTTCCTAACATTGGTCTCAAAAGGAATCATATGAATAGTACAGTTGTTTGCAATAGATACAGCTAAAACATGTAAAAAAGGACCCATATAGGAATTCTAGAATGCTAAACTGGCTTCTGATGAACTCATCAATTACCATTCAAGAAGCAAGGATGACAATGGTGAAACAAGAGTGAGTTTAGATATTAAAACTAAAGACACTATTTGAAAGAGATCAAGAGTTTGGTATGGAAGATGAGCAGTAGAATATGGTACAGACCTAAAAGGGTGACCGTAAAATTAACTGATTACATTTGCTGCAGATGAAGCAGATCTTGTGAAAGAGGGCTGACAGCACAAAGCTTTAGGAACAACACACTTTCAGATGGCTAGTACTGACCAGAACAATGTGTAAATAAGTTTATTCAGTTTGTTCGTCAAGAAAAAAACAAGCACTTGTGAGACTGATTTTAATTGTTGTAGTCTGTGTGTCAAAACCATAGTATTAAAATTCAAGGTACCCAAAATGCTGCAGATTTGAGATTTAGATATTTTTAAAATGTTAGAAAAACGTAGGGTCAACCCCTCAGGGTTGTTTTTCCCACAGATGGAACTAACTCCCATTGTCTTCAGTGAAAGTTCAGAGTAGAGACTGCTGGATTTTGGTTTTCTGAAGGACAGTTTAAGGTGGCCTCATCAAACTACAGGGGGTTTGGGAGCAAACACAAAGGGATTAGGTAACTTTTTGAAGTGTCTTAAATTAGTTAAGGTGACCTACAAGAACAACAGGTCATACATTTTAACTAAGGCAAAGCCAGATATTATTGAAAGGCAGGTACAAGTGTACTTTCCACAGAAGTTAACTCACAAAATATACTACCAAAGACAATGATACATCACGTTCCTATATCATAACTGTTGAAAGATTTCATGATTAATTATTTTTCTTTCAAAGTTGATCTTTTTGAAATGTGGAAACTTTCTAAGTTGTACTTAGATAAATAAATGGTACAGTGCAGCTTGATAAATTGTATCACTGTCAGAGAGAGAAAAAGGCTTACTCAATTTTGACTTTTGTCCTGCACAGACCACTTGCTACCTCATTTGAAGGCAGACATGGCAGTGTGCGCTATTGGGTGAAAGCCGAATTGCACAGACCTTGGCTTCTACCAGTGAAATTAAAGAAGGAATTTACAGTCTTTGAACATATAGATATCAACACTCCTTCATTATTGGTAAGAATTGAGAGCTGTGTATATATTGTTTTTGTATTTGGCATATCTATAGTCACTGAAACCATTACAAAATCTAATTTTAATACTGTCTGCTAGTTAAAGTGCAGGTGACTAACCCATTTTAGCAACTCATAGCAAGCTGCCATATTGAAAAGTTACATAGTGGTTGGAGTTGAAATTATCTATATTTTATATTTATCTGTAAACTGAATCAGTGGCAAATTACAAAAAAATCTCATTCAGGAGAGTTCTATTCACTATTCCTTATCAATTTAATACAGAATAATTTAGCTGCTAAAAGAGCACTATTATTCTTACAAATCTTCTAATTAATAACAGCCTGTTAAACTTAAAAATGTGCACTACACCACAGTTTACTGTACAATTGATAAATTTAATATAGTTTCCTACCAGTGGAGAGAAACTAACACTTTTTTTTAATACTAAATCTTTTTGATATTGGACAAGATGTTTTCAAGGAGGTTCTCATTTCAGTTTGGCCTAAAATCCTTTTTCTTTCTTCTCAATGAGCAATGCATGCAAAATTTAGAAGTCATTGAAATAAGGGAGTGGGGGTTTTATATATGGGTGAAAAATCAAATTTTATCAGAGGATCTATGGCCTCACTTATAATCTCTACTAAATCAAAGGAAAGATGTATGTGGAACTTGAATAGACCATTAATCATGATCTCACATAAAACAATGCAAACTTCATTGATTTAGGTGGGAATAGGAGCAGGTTTATTCTGAGAACAGAAAAAAGTTAATATTCAGGATTACAGTAGTTGGACTTTGTTTTACATGAAATATAATTAAGTGAAATGTAGAAAGATGCTTTTAGTTACCTTCAACAGTGTCAATAGTTTTTCGTAAAATTGTATGTGGGCCAAAAAGCTGTTCATTTTTCCTAAAGCAAAATTTTTCTGATTGTCTTTGTTTTTTTCAATGAATTCTTCAGTGAGGATGAGACTAATTGGGGTAGCTCTGGTAAGGTAACTAATACCAGTGCTAGATTGGAATTAAGACAAAACATTCTTTGTTTACTTGCACAGTGTTAGGGAAGTCAACATAACTATTCTTTTGAGTAAAACCAGCAGGGTTTTGCCATTTAGTATCTTAATACTATTTCTCTGCATTAATTAGAGTCTCATGAATATGCACAACTAATTCTGGGTTTAATGTTTGGTTTTTTTGCAGTCACCCCAAGCAGGCACAAAAGAGAAGACTCTCTGTTGTTGGTTTTGTACCTCAGGCCCAATATCCTTAAGTGCCAAAATTGAAAGGAAGGGCTACACCCCAGGTATGTAGCAAGAATAACTTCTTTCTTCACTCTCTTAAAATTACCCTTTTTAATTCATGGCCTTACATAAATAAGTATCAAGGTAGCTTTTTCATTTGCATATTGTGGTCTTCCGAGTATGCTGTTGAACCAGATTCATCATAGCTGTAACTTCAAATTGGAAAAATACATTTTCCTTTACTAGCCTTGCACACTTGTCACATCAGCTCATACTGAACTTCATTCTGCTTATTGCTATCAATGAATATTCTTGCCAATAAATTTAGTATTGGCAGGAGCTGGCCCATTGTAACCATGTAAACATTTAAAAATATATGTGTTTCCATGTAAGCAGATGTGAACTGAATGAAATTCTGTTTCA